GAGTGCTCATGGAATACTTAATTCCTGGCTGTACAGCTTTAGACAATGATACAGATAACATCTGGGGAGAACCTGCCATGTGCCGGGTGATAGGTTCTGCATTTTCCCATCCACCAAGTGAGGGAGGGCGTATTATCTTAGAGATTTTACAAATGAGGACACTGAGGCTCAGGAAAGTGCCCAACTTCAGCTATGAAATGGCAGCACTGGACTTAGAACCCAGATCTGTCCAGAGTCCTTGCTTTCAGCCCCTAGGGCTTTCCTTCGCTTATCATGCCTACATTTGCAGAATAAGGATCCACTCTCCCCCTTCACAGGGTTGCCTGCCTGGATCACCTAGGAGGGATCTGGCAGACAGGAGTTGTCTGATGAATCCTGTTTTCTTTTCCTAGTGTAAATTATTGCTTGTGAGACCAGACTCATCCGTCAGGCCCTGAGAGGAACCCCATCAGATAAGGCTTAACTGATCCCGGCTTGCACAATGCCAGCCCCCTGTGTCTGGAGCTTAGATACTTAAACATGGAAAGGGGAACTTCATTTCACTTCCCAGGGAAAAGGAAAAGAAAGTGCTGGACTCAGTTTGATAAAATTTGAAAGGGAAGGTCCCCAAGCCCCTAGATCAGTGGCTTTTCTAGAAGGCCTCACCCTTCTAGTTAGTAAACAGAATCTACCACCGGTGGCATTTCTTCTGGGATTTTGTCTACGAGGAATAGTGAGAGGGAAGTAGAGGCATGAGGCAGGCCTGGGTTTGCCTCTGGGCTGCACCAGTGCCAGTGGGGCTACGCTCAACCCTCCAAGCCCCCATGTTCTTTGTGCTGCATGGGAGGAGTGAGGAGGTAAATGATATTCTGGACCCCAGCTACTACAACTCAGTTCCTAGGGAGAAATATTCTGATGACGAATCACCAAGGACCCCCCACCCCCTCAGGAGGAGAGTTTTCTTGGGGGCACTAAACACCCAGGGTTCTACCCAGCGCACCCTAGAAAGCCCAAGCCTGGGCTAGAAGTGGGTGCAACTTGGGGGCAGAAGTGAGAGGATGGAGCGAGTACCTCTAGGAGCTTTCCAGGCTGAGATAGCAGAGGAGAAGGGAAGAGAGGCATTCTAGGCAGGTGGAACAGCATAGGCAAAGGCACAGAGTCAGAATGGGCCTGGCACTTTCAAAACCAAAGGAATGAAATGTCCCCAGTGCTGTGTTTCCCAAAATGTTGTCCCAGGACACAGAAGTGCACATGGTAGGCAGGAGCTGAGACGAAAGAGAGGAGACAGAACCGGGTCATGAAGAACCTTGAATGCCACATCAAGGATCTAAACTTAGAGGCCAACCGAAGCTGGTAACAGAAAGCGGATCAGCCCTCCCCCGCACAGAGCCCAGCATGGCGGGTTTCAAGCACATCAGAGAGTGCAGTGAGTGCACTTATCACGCTGGGCTGGGGCTGCTCCTGAGGGCTAATTGGCCAGCACGGCCTCCCCATGAGGCAGACTCTGAACTGGGCCCCACTCTTTGTTCTGGCTGCATCTGCGAGGGGCTGATGGCAGGTAAAGGTCAGAAGCCTCCCCAGGGGGCAGCGGGGAGTACTGCAGCCCTGAGCCAATTCTCCAGAAGGTGCATTTTGAAAGGCTCTTAAGACAGAGATGAGAAGAGGAAGCAGTGGGACACGGGCAGCTGTGAGACACACCATCAGCCTGCGAGATGGGGGAGGAAGGGGCTGAAGACTATCTTAATGAGTTTCATGTGATTTTTCTCACAGAATGAGAGGTGAACAGTCAATTATCTAATCTTCATGGACAGTTGGATGAGATCTATTGTATATTGTGTTGTTTTTTCAACTTTTTGTGTGTGAAAATGTTCACCATAAGATGCTGGGGGAAATAGGCCCATTTTCACGTATCCATTCAGACACTAACCAGACCCTTTGAATCCCAAGGTGAATACCCACATATTTCCAAGGTGGGGAAACCACACATGCACAAACACACACACTACACACACACACAACACACACACACACTCGCACTTCATGTACTCTGTATCTCTCTGTGTTATATAGACAACAGAAGATGGTGGATGGATGGATGGGTGGGTATGGGTGGATGAGTGGGTGGATGGATGGCGGGATGGATGGATGGATGGGTGGGTGGGTGGACAGACAGATGGACAGATGGATGGATGGATGGATGGGTGGGTGGATGGTTGGACAGATGGGTGAGTGGGTAGATGGGTGGATGGACAGATGGATGGGTGGATGGATGGATGGATGGATGGGGAGGTGGATGGATGGATGGGTGGATGGATGGGTGGGTGGACAGACAGATGGATGGATGGATGGATGGATGGATGGATGGATGGGTGGGTGGATGAATGGGTAGATGGACGGATGGATGGTTGGATGGGTGGGTGGATGGATGGATGGATGGACAGACAGATAGATGGGTGGTGGATGTGTAGATGGGTGGATGGGGGGGGGTGGAGAGAGGTGGGCAAGATCCAGGCCTTGCAGGTAGGCAAATTAACCCTGGGAGCCATATTAACACTGCAAGGCAGCAGGTACCAAAGCATAACTAGGTACAAAGCACAGGGGAGAATGCTTCTGCCTCCAGGCATTTGGGAAGGCTCTAGGGAGATCGAGGTGCTTGAGCAGGGCCTTGAAAGGAGAGTAGTTGAAGTGAACACAGGGAAGAGCAGGGCTGCGGGTGAGGGAGACAGCAAAGGCAGGATTAAGAAGGTGTGACAGATTTGGGGAAAGGCTGGGTTAACTGAATGGCGAAGTTAGGGGACAAGTACAGGGATGTTTAATGAGATCCAGCTGGAAGGATGGGGTGACGTCTGATTGAGCACAGGCATTAAGGCAGGCTGACGGGATGTGAGCTGAATTTGAATCCAGGCTTTCTGGCCACTTACTAGTCCTGAGACATCACTTGGGCCCTCTGAGCTTCACTCTTTCAGAATTAAATGGGGCAATGATTTCCCTCACTCATGGGTTATTGTGAGGATAAAATGATATTTATTTTAATGTGTGATCTCACCATGCCCAGGGCGATCTCACAGTAAGGATTCACCATGATCTCTCAAGCCATCCCCTACTGCTGGACACTCTGATGGGTTCTTGCTTTTTGCTGCTTGCACACCTGCTGTCACAGATGTCCTTCATACATTTAGCCCGGTAGAGGCTGTATGGCCACAGCACAGGTTCTCAAAAGAAGGAGTGAGGTCTAAGTGACCTAGAGGGGTGTCTTTATACAATAAAGGAATTAGGGAAACAAAGTTGCTCGGTAATGTGGAGAGCGTGTGTGCCTGTGTACACAGAGAAGCCCAGAGCAAGAAGGGAAGGCCTCCGTCACACAAAACTGTCAGCAACAGTCACCTCCTGGGCGTGTGTGACAGCCCAAACAGTCGTCCTTTCCCGTATCCCTCAGGATACTGAGTTTACCGCAATAAGCATGTCATGGCTCTGGAATTTTGGAAGGGAAGTTCGAGAAAGTGTTTTTGTGTTATCTGTGATGATGAAAACAGTGACCGTGATCTTGTAGGGCTGTGGCCTCTGGGGCAGTCACTCTACCCACAAGGTACAGGGTGGAATGAAGCTCCATTTGAAAATTCCTGCCTTCACGATAGGTCACCGGAAACTCCAGGACCTGGGCTATAAAATAGAAACACGACAGAAGTGATTCTTTGAGATTCCATGATAAAGGGACCGCCACTGCTCTGTTCATCCTTGTGCCCCAGCACCTAGAACAACATTTGTCATGTGTTAAGTTCTGAAAGAAACACTGACCAAAAAGAACAGAGGGAAGGAAGAGAAAGAAAGAAGGCAGGGGAGGATAGATTTTGAATTATGCGAGAGGCTGCTTCCTTCAGATTTGAAAATCCCAAACATTAACTAAAATATTGGTCCAGGGCCAAAATACCTACACCTGGCTGTTAAGAAACTCGGGAAAAAAATTGTTATCAGAAATAGGGATTCTCAAAAAAGATAGCCTCGCTGCTATCTCCTCCACAGTTAATTAAATGTACCAGGGAGAACCATGCTGCTTGCGTTATTTATGTAATGAAAAGATCTTCTAAAAATAATACCCAGAGGCCCGGCTCGCAAAGCCTGGTGGCTGAACCAGCTGGAGCGGCAGAAGGTGACCAGGAGCCGTGATCCTTGTCCCAACACAGTGGTTATGATTAAATGATGTTTCTCGTATTCAGGTTGCAAAACCGCTCCAGTCCAGAGCCTCAGAGAGGTTTAATTCATGTCATTAGCTTGCTTCTGATTAGCTTGCTGCTGAGAGGGATTCCACCGTCATCCTGATTTCTGCAGGCTCCCAGATCCCAGTAGATGGCCTGCGAGCTGCTCTCTGGAAAACCAGGATCAGCTTGCATGAAAGGAAATCAGCAGGGCCTCTGTGTTTCGTCCATTGGAATCATAGAATTTCACCAGGAGAAGGGGATCTTCTGGGACTTGACAAGAAGTATTGTGTGTGCAGCCTTTCTGTTGAAGTGAGGTTTGCACTGGGACAGCTGGAAGGAAAGCAGGGAGGGCTGAGAGGATGGGAAGGAGGGAAGAAGAGAGGAAGGAGCCAGAAAATACCAAAATACTTGTGATAGAGGCAAAATGGGATCAACGGTGGCCAGCCACCCCGTGGGCTGCCAGGCAGCCACTGGAGAGATCAAGTCAGTTCTGCACAGGCTGACCGGCCACACGCGCTGCTAAATAAGAAAAGGAAGATTGAGAGCGATGTTTGGAGCAGGTGTGGGCAGGGGGTGCCGTTGGCAAACTATGATAGCAGACTAAATCTGGCCCTCTGCCTGGTTTTGGGCAGCTCATGAGCTAAGAATGGCTTTTACATTTTTAAAGAGTTTGCAAATGGTTTTAAAGAGTTGGAAAAAATCAAAAGACGAATCCTATTTTGCGACACGTGAAAACTATGTGAAATTCAAATTTCAGGGTCCATAGTAAAGTCTCATGGGAGCACAGACACACTCATTCATTGGCACGTTGTCTCTCCATGGTAGGTGCTTTCAGGCGATGATGACAGAGCTGAGTAATTCCAGCCGAGACCTTGTGGTATGCAAAGCCGAAAACATTTGCTACCTGGCTCTTTCCTGGGAAAGTTGGCCGGCTCCTGCTTTACGGTATGATGACGTTTTTGTGAAAACCAACAGCATCAGACACTGTTCTCAGTGCCTTATCAGAGCAAATTCATTGCATTTGCTTATTTATTCACTCCTTTGATCATTTATCCATCAGATGCTTAATGCCTGCCTGTAGGGTCAGGCACTGGGAACCAGCAGTGAACAAGCAGACGCAGCCCCTATTCCTGTGTTTAGAATCTGTGTCTGGTTCTTTCTTTCTCCTGTATAAATAGTCCCACCCCTCCAACCGTATCTTCTCACAGAGTGACACAGTGGTCCAGCCCCTTGCATCCTGGCTCCCTCTCTCCTCCCTCGTGTATCCTGGTTGCCTCAATCCCTCAGGTATCCAGATTGGCCCTGTGCCTCCTGGTGTTTCATAGTGAGGTCAGGGTCTAGCAGGATTCCTCTCGAACTGGTCATGCTGTTGGTCTGGTTTCAAAGTGTTCAAAGCTTGATGCTTGCATTTTCAGCTCCTGTTCACCAGTGGTCCTAAGAGGCAGATGCGGCTCCCCTTAACCTCCGGCACATGGGTGGGAATGTCCACCAGCTATGGAAAAGGATGCGGCCACACCTCAACCTGATCCCTCCCGCATAAAACCAAAGCCACCTCCAGATACAGACTCCAGTGCCTCCGTCTCTATGCAGAACCTGGAGAGTAGAGACCTACTCCAGTCCCTGGAAGAAGCTGGGTCTGCAGGCAGTGATTTGAGGACTGGAATTTGAACCAGACACTTTCTCCTTTTGCTCTTCTTCATCCATACTCATGCCCAATACCTCCCAGGAGACTGCTTTATTTATTTCTAGAAGAACAGTATTGGGGCAGTCATTGTCACCTCCCCACGTCTGGACATTTTCTTTGGGCTCCATTGGGAGCCTAGAGCCCAGCGGTTGACGTAATTGACGCACTGGGAAGGTGGGTGAGGAGTGTCCAGGGGCCGTGGGCGGAGGACGGAGCCGGAGGGTCCCAGGATGGTACCTAACGGCACAGCCTCCTCCTTTTGTCTGGACTCTCCCCCGTGCAGGATCACTGTCAGCGTGGTCCTCACCATCCTCATCCTCATCACCATTGCCGGCAACGTGGTGGTCTGCCTGGCTGTGGGCCTGACCCGCCGGCTCCGCAGTCTGACCAACTGCTTCATTGTGTCTTTGGCTATCACCGATCTGCTCCTCGGCCTCCTGGTGCTGCCCTTCTCGGCCTTCTACCAGCTCTCCTGCCAGTGGAGCTTCGGCAAGGTCTTCTGCAATATCTACACCAGCTTGGACGTGATGCTCTGCACGGCCTCCATCCTCAACCTCTTCATGATCAGCCTCGACCGGTACTGTGCAGTCACGGACCCCCTGCGCTACCCCGTGCTGGTCACCCCCGTCCGGGTTGCTGTCTCTCTTGTCTTAATTTGGGTCATCTCCATCACCCTGTCCTTCCTGTCCATCCATCTGGGGTGGAACAGCGAAAATAAGAACAGCAGTTTCAATCACACCATCCCCAAGTGCAAAGTGCAGGTCAACTTGGTGTATGGCTTGGTGGATGGGCTGGTCACCTTCTACCTGCCGCTGCTGGTCATGTGCGTCACCTACTACCGCATCTTCAAGATCGCCCGGGATCAGGCCAAGCGGATCCATCATATGGGCTCCTGGAAGGTGGCCACCGTAGGGGAGCACAAAGCCACAGTGACACTGGCTGCCGTGATGGGAGCCTTCATCATCTGCTGGTTTCCCTACTTTACCGTGTTTGTTTACCGGGGGCTCATAGGGGATGATGCCATCAACGAGGCCATTGAAGCTGTTGTTCTGTGGCTGGGCTATGCCAACTCGGCGCTGAACCCTATCCTGTATGCCACGCTGAACAGAGACTTCCGCACGGCATACCAGCAGCTGTTCCGCTGTAGGCCTGCGGGCCACGGGGTCCCGGAGACCAGCCGGAGGTTTGGCAGCTCTCAGCTGGCCAGGAGTCAAAGCCAAGAAGTTGTGCGGCAGGAAGAGAAGCCCCTGAGGCTCCAGGTGTGGAGTGGGACAGAGGTCACAGCCCCACGGGGAGCCACAGACAGGTAACTGCCCTGAGGGTGTGTGGGTGTGGGACAAGTGCCCGGGGCAGGGGTCCCCAGCGATGACGACCGTGAAGGTGGTGGTTGTTCGCAGATGCTGGTTGAACATTCTGTGCTGGGAAGTCTTTGTGAGCACTCTGCAAACCTCATGTTGTTCCATCCTCCCAATGGCCTCCCCATCTCAAGGTAGAAGCTTTGACTTCTGTTTTTTAAGGGACCACATTAAATCTCAGAGCATGTGGCCAGGGCCAAACAGCAGGGACCTGGACAGAGAACCCTGACTCCAGAACTTGTGGGCCCTTTTTTCCTAGTGACGTTGTCTTTACAGTCGGGAGTCCTGAGTTTGAGGCCCAGCTCTGCCATTTGGTTAGTCGGCTGAGGTGTTCACCCAAGCTCTCCGGGACAGCCCCGAAATGGCGAGGCACTAACATCGCCGCCTGGGGAGTGACCACAAACCCAGCCCGGTCCACGTTCGCTGAGCACCTATGAGGTACCCGCCCTTCCACCAGAGCTGCTCGGGTCAGAGGAGAAAGGGGGCTGGCCTGACCGGGAAAGCAGAGCCTTGCAAGTGAGGCTAGGGCCTTGGACCTTGTACCATTGATCTTAGGGGAAGATGGAAGGATTAGAAGCAAGGGTGGGGGGTAAGCCAGGCAGCTCTGTGCTTTGGAAAGAGAGCTCTGGTTCCCCTGTAAAGACGTGGACCAGAAGGAGGAGACGGAGCCATTGGTGAAGGGGAATGTGCCCTGACCCATGAGAGAGAGAAGGGACTAGAGCAAAATCTAGGAGACTGTTAAGAAAAATAGGCTTGGTGATCATTGGATGTTTGCGGTATAGGAGATGCAAGAGAGAGGAAGCCCGAGGATTCTACCCCCAAGAGGTATCCAGGCTGAAAAGAGAAACAGGATGGGAATGAGATGTAGATGCATGCACTGGTGGCAAAGCCAACACCGGGCATTAAGGGAAAGCCCATCAGAGACCTGAGTGGCTCCGAGGAAGGTCGCCCCCAGCCTGGAGAGGACACTGCCCGGTCTGCGGGCACTCTAGCTGCAGAGATGGCTGGGTGTAAGGGTGCTGGTGGAACGCTTGGCATGCATCAGTGCTCAGCAAATGTTGCTTTCCTTACTCTTCCCACAGACCGTGACTTTGCCTCCCCAAATGCAGGTAGTGTGCCCCCATCCACCCACCCACCCATCCATCCATCCATCCGTCTGTCCCGTCCATCCGTCCATCCATTCATTTGCAAACATTTCTCAACTTCCCACCCCGTGCTGGGAACTGTGCTGAGCCCCGGGGATGCAGAAATGACATTTTGGGTGATGCACAGGCGTGGAGAGTCAGCTGCATAACCCCACTCTCAGCTCTCAGTTCTCCCACCCTCCGTGGTGTGAGCCAGTCCCCGCCTGTCCATGGGGCTTCTGTTTCCTCATCTCATAGAGGGTGGGGTCTGTCCTCATCAGCCTGCCCTGCTCGCCTCCCAGGGTTGCCTGTTGCCCAGGCTCTACAGCCCCAGTGGGACACTTGTCTCCTCTCAGTAACTGAGCATCAGCTGTGAGAAAAGCCTGGACGGATGCCACAGCACCACACCCTCTGGGTTCTGGTTCCTGTGGAGCATTGTGGGAGCAAAACTGTCCAGCCAGTCCCCTGGGCCTCATGTCCCCTCTGGTCCTTGCAGCAGCCAGGTGTGGAGTGTCCTGCCATAGACTTGGGTCCCGGGCCCTCCACCCCTCCACTGCCAGCCTTCTGGAACAAGCCTCATTGCTCCTGCCTCCAGCCTCCTAACCTTGAGACTCTCCCTCTCAAATCCATCCTCCAAACCACCCAGCAATGTCTCTCCAAAATGGAGATCTGGAGCCTTCCACATCCGGCCCTGATGGGTAAGGCCCCCTCTGACCATGTCGTTCCCCATTCCCTCCCTCATTCAGGAAGCAGCCTCGAGCACGAAGCTAAGTTAGATCATGAAGCAAACAAAGAACAAAGCACAGGGAGTAGACCCCATTGAAGGCCGTTGACATGATTCAGCCTAGTCATGTGTGGCGCTTCCCCACTGCTCTCACCTGTGCAACCCCCTGGTGGAGAGGCTACCTTCACCCCTAATCCGTAGGGAACTATATTCAATAAGCACTTAGCAATACCAGCCAGCGCTCCTCGGACACCCACTAGGGGCCCACTGTACATGTTTGCCATTGTTTCCATGTACAGTCCCTCTGTGGGCCTCCCATCCTCACCCTTGTGCTGGGTGCTAAGGGTGCAAAGGGAAACAAAGCAAGCTCCCCCCCACCCCACGCATCGGTCTCGCCACCTAGCTGCAGCTCGGTGCAGCACATCCCAAGGATTGAAGCCCCGTGTGCTGGGGGCCCAGAGGAGGCTGTGTGAGACCCAGGGAGCCCAGCCCTGGGAGCAGACCTCCCAGCTGAGCCTTAAAGGCAGATGGGAAAGACCTTTGTCATCCAGGGTGGCTCTGGACCCTTTGGACTTGTGACCTCATTTCACTTTCCCCACAACCCTATGCTTGTTTAATCTCCACTTCACAGATGGGGAAACTGAGGCTCAGAAAAGATAAGTAAATTGCCCAAGTGACGCAAGCTAGGGAGTCAGCTGAAGCCATGTTCTGAGCAACAATAGAAAGAGCAGCCCCTCCCCCCAACTGGCTGTCCCCTGGGTGCTGGGCACACTGTGGACCAGGAATGAACACCTCTTCTTCCGGTCTTCACAGCCACCCTGGTAGTGGGCTGTAAGGCTGAGGTCAGCCGAGAGGCTGTGCCCGCCTGGGTCACACACAGCAGCCACAGAACCAGGACACACATGCTCTGGGTGGCTGTGGCTGTGCTCTGCCCTCCAGGCCCTGGAGACAGTGAGCAGAGGGGTTGGGCAGACCAGGGTGGTGAATCAGTTGGACGGATGGGGGCCTGGAAGGGCTGAAGGAGGCCATGAAAGCCAGAGATTGATTTTCACACTGAGACTGCCAGGTCATCAAGTGGCCCTCTGTAAGGTTGTCTCCCAGCTTCCCTGATGACCGATAGCCGTGTCCTTTCTGCTTTCCGGCTGGGGACAAAACTCAGCCTTGACCTGACCGCAGGCCCTTATCACTGCTGGGGTCGGGGGAGGACAGGGGCGGGGGATGGTGGAGGTGTGCTCTGAGTACAGAAGTCTGAGGGCCTAACTGGACCTGCCCTTGGGGCAGGGTGGGGCCCAGTCAGGGGTGAGGTGGCGCCAGCCAAGGGGAGACTCCAGGAGGGAGTGTGGCCCTTGGCACGTGTCTGGCAGTGCACCCGCCCGGGCTCGGCTCAGTGACCTCCACTGCTCCTGCTGGATATGGGTCTGTGTTCATTTCCTAGGGCTGCTGTAGTCTTTGGTGGCCGAAAACAAGGCAGATTCTCTCACAGTCTGGGAGGTCAGTAGTCTGAGATCAAGGTGCTGGCAGCACTGGTCGCTCCGGGGCCTCAGGGGAGACTCTATTTCCGTGCCTTTCCCAGCTCCCGGGGCCGCCTGCTCCCCTTGGCTCGTGAGCCCTCTCTCACATCTTGCCCCTCTTGTTTCCTTTGTCACAACTCCTTCTCCCATCCATAGTCAAATCTCCATCCACTCTCTTAGAAGGGCTCTTGTCACTATATTTAGGGACCACCAGGATAATCCAGGATCGCCTCCCCATCCCACTTTCCTGAACATAACCAGATCTACTGACTCCTTTTTATGCCAAAGAAGAAAATGTGCTCAGATTCTAGCAATGAGGATGTGGACATCTCTGGGGACCGTGTTCAGCGACCCCAAGTCCCAGCACCTCTTGTCGTTAGAAGCCCTACCCTCCTCCTGATCTGTTTCTTGCCAACATCCCCCGTCCCACACCCACCCTCCACCCACTTCTGTCACAGCCAAAACAGACCACCCAGAGCCCAGGATCCCCAAGCACTCAGTAAGGATTTGCTGTATGCCCAGCCCTGCTGGGGGCATAGCGGTGAGCAGATCAGAGGCTCTCCTCCCTGAGGGATGATAGTCTAGGGCAGTGGTTCCCAAAGTGTGGGCCCCAAGTCAGCTGCAGGCTTCCAGAAGCAAAGTTTGGCCAGCCTCGGACCACACAGCCTCAAACGTGGCAAAGCAAGGATTCCAGCCCAAGCCTGTCTGACCCTAAAGCTTGGGGTCTTTCTATAGTAAAACACAGTCTGGACTCCACTGTCTGGGCTTAAATGGAGTCCAGACTCGGTGGTAGTCCCATCAACACCAGGTGAGGGAACTACGATCACTGGGAAGCAGGTGATCTATCCGAGGCCCAACATAAGCTCAGGAGGGGCTGGAGATAGACCCAGTACTTGGACCCATACCAAGGCCCTTGGGTCCTTTTCCCACCCGTTGGCTTGCTCTGGGTAATCTCCCAGGGCAGGGAGATAATATTCACAAGCGCCTGAAGTATCAGCAGCCTCTCGTGGGCGTGGCACTTCCTCATTCCTGCAGAGCGTGTGGAGGCTGGAGCCAGAGTTCTGGAAAGACCCTGGGAGAACAGGCAAGGTGCCCCCACCCCTCCAGCCAGCGTTCCCCCCCAGAGGTCCCATGGCAGGGGTCCACCTGACCCCTCCTATCTGCTCTCCTGCCTTCTGCAGCTAGAGAGCGGGTTTCCACATGGAAATGGGACCATGCGCTGTCCCTCCTGATGCTCTCGGAATAAAACACCAAGTTCTAATCCTGACCTCCCAGGAGGGAGGTCCCCTTGCCTCAGCCCAGACTGTCTAATTCGTCTTGATGCATTCTCTGTGTTTCAGGCCTGCACCCTACCCCAGCAGGGTATGCTCCCCAAAGTCAGGCCCCTGCCTGTGCTGTTAACAGGATAGGCACACTAACACTGTTGAATGAATGCATAAGTGAATATCTAGTTTTAGTTCCCCAAAAGCCCTAAGAAGTACATAATACTGCCTCTACTTCAGAGATCAGGAAACCAAAACCCAATGAGGGAAGTTCCAGCAACTGGCAGGAGCTCAGAAATCCCTGGTTCCCTTTTCTAATTCAGATGTCAC